AGTGTTCAGCGACTTTACCGCTCGGCCGCTGGTGGGCTTGGATTATTCAGCCTTACCAGTTTAAGTAAAACCCTACAACATCACTTTACTAAACCTGTTAAAAATAATACCTTCTAAAAATAAGTAAGAATACAGACCTATTTTACATCCTTCTCGAGTTGTAGATCCAGTTGTTCGATATGCAACGTTGGTGTTTATTAATAAAGGCTCACTATGAATAGAAAGATGGTCCTCGGAACGAGTGCTTACCTGCGGAAAAAATGGACATATTTAAACTGAAAAACTAAATTTTATTTCTTTCAACTAAAATTTCGTACATTTAGTTTACTAGGAGTTCTGGAAGTTTTATATTCTTAAATGGTTTCTCTTTTTACAATTATACATAATGTATTCAGTTTGTTATAAATAATGCATTAACTCAAAAGGTAGTATTCCTAGCTATAAAAGAAGTGCTAGTTTTTAATAAGTAGAAATGGTTACTTGGTATGTTAAGAGAGATGTAATTGGAAACATGGTTTTTAAGAGTAAGTGTTTGCCAAAGTAAAATATTATGGATTTGGACAACCTGTTGGTATTCATGTCGAAACACTCATAACGTTTGGTATAGAAAACGTTTGCACTGTCCCTATCGTACGCCGGGCTATGACATACTACCTCGACCATATACTGTTTTCTTTCTCTCTTTTTTTCTCTTACTGCTCTAATTTAAATTTTTTAATGATAATTAATTTAATTCAAATCTTTCCGATTAAATATGACCTGAAAGTTATTAGCAAACATTATAAATGGACTCTACTGATTCATCTTCTTTCTCACTGTCAAAATATATATAAATAAATACGAAGTAAAAAGCAGTTCAAAACCTAATCCAATTACGCGCTGAAAGCTACAGTAGCTGTTGGCCAACCAAACAAACCGGTTTGTTCCGGGTTGAACATCGGATGGATTTGAAAGTTATTATTTTGCTATATTGCTACTAGTTGTTGCAGCTATCTGCGCATAATTGGACACAGGTAGGCAGAGAGGAGGTAATGGAACTTAGGTGCAGAAATGGCGCATTGAAGTGGTATAGGCCGCTGTAGAGTAGTATGTCAAAGCTTTCTGCTGGCGTAAATCATCGTTCTCTGAGCGGATTTCGAGATGTATGCATTATTATACGAAAGCGAAGGTCGTCGAGTATATTTTATCTATGGGCCCTGCGGTCGGAAATGAAGCAGCTATTCAAAGCGGAAATGAAGTACTCTGTATCTCCTTACAGTCCGTGTTAGTTGCAACCCCATATATAAAATGCATGTTAGCGAGCTCCGCTTTCGTGCAGCGATAGATATCGCTCTAAATTTGAACGGAGAATGACGACTTATGCCAGCAGAATGTTTTTATTTACCACTAAAAAGCGTCCAGTATCACCTCAGCCCGAAATTTCTACATTTACATTCCATTACAAAATATGCTTATTTTGGTGCCCTTTATATTTTCCACAGATATTTTTGAGTCATCCTACAGACACATGTAATAAAAAATATGTAAATCAATAAACTCTAGCTTAAATTTGCTCTAGCCCCTTAACTCTTCATTTTAATTCAGATATTTCCCCTTTCTGTTCTAAAAATAGTAATTGCTTATAATAATATTATCTGAGCTGGGTCACTTCCAAATTAATCCACGTCACTGGCCTTTTACATAGCTCTGACGTTTTAAGAACTGAAGGACGACGAGCCAATAATCATTTTAGAACGCTATTAATTAGCTAATCAAATGATATCGACATCTAAACTGAACATCTATCAGCGTATAATTAGACACTCTGAATTAAGATTTTGTCTCAAACACATCACATTTGTTTTCTGCTTCTCCTGCTAAGGCTTGCTCTCTTAAAAATTATACTTCTTGAAATGTAACGGAACCGATTTAATTCTCCCAAAACATGTGCTATGGCACATAATTATTTATGTTGGCTTATTGAAATGCTCGGTGAAATAAAATAGAAAGGAATATTTAAATTTACTCCGACTGCAAGCTTCTTATGTGTATGCTTCAACAATTACCAATTTATTACACTGAGTCGACCACCTGTAATAATTTGGTAATTCATAACCAAGCATTTCAATAAGCCGATGTAAATAAGTTGGCCGAAGTACGCGGGCCTGTTAAAGAATGTTTTACTTATTAAGAACTTTTGGAAGCTAGCAAGCAGCAGTCTAGTTAAGTCGTGGAGTAGAAAACAAGTGCAATGTGTTTAGGACAAAATCTTAACTCAGAAGGGGTTAGTTTCGATTTTGATATCAGTTGATTGGCTAATTAATAAGCAAAAGAGAAAAGAATTTCGTTCATAAGGCAGTTTAGCCGTTATGATGGTGAAGAAAGTCAAATTCGTTGACAGGTATATTTAACTGAAAAATGTGACTGAAATACATAAGAATGTGCAAAACAGGCAAATCCAGGCACATGTGAACGGTCAGAATTGATATGGTTTCGAATTATGAATCATGCATAAATGTAATGTCTTATAGCAGGTTTAACGAAATTTATTGAATATGTGTAAGGCACTCATTAACTATTAATGATGGAGTGTCCTGCATCTCTTAAGATTGAGTTAGGTTTCGTGCATGAGTTTAAACATTAGTTACCGGATAAATTCAACCATTGTTTGAAGCTGATTTTTCTGAAATCTTACCTGGATGGAGTACAGAGACTCTGGCCACAGTGTCAGAACAGCTTCACTATTTACTGTGTACAGATGCCCAGTTATTTCCATTGAATCGTCAATAACGTTCCAAGAAACTTCATACGGAATGTCTCCGTTATCATTCATTACTCTTGGCCAAGTGATTCTGGCTAAGATACCTGCCGATGTGTCGCTTTGCTCCATAGATTCAAGATGAAGTTTCCATGATGTTCTTTCCAAAGCCACTGGAGTCTTGATATCTGGAGTTACAATCACACTGTTCAAGAATGTTGTCTCAGTATCGCATAGTTGATGTGTAGCATTCGCTGCAAGTAAACGAATCCTGGTCTCTTTTTCCAACATGTTTCTTTTCATGTGCACAATGGGGGATGTAGTCTAAAGAAATGGTAAAAAGAAACAAATGAAGCAAAAGCGCTAATCATGAAGTTCATAAATGAAATTATGATTTAAGATTTGGCAGCAACACATATGAAAGTTATTTTTTTCCTAATTAAACAATTAATCATTATTCAATTAATTTTCTTTCATAAGAGTGTCTTAAATCATTGGTATTACGTATTATAATATGGAAAGTGAAATTTTTCTCATTAATCAAGATTTTAATAATAAAAAAGTATGGTTCTTTTTTTAAGATTTTATTTATTTACTTTTTGCAGTTTTCAAAATCAGTAAACGCAATTTACAGTTTTGAAAGACAATAAAATCCACATTCTTTTAATGTCTGATACACATAGAATTAAGCTAAAAAGAATCTATTAGACAGAAAATGGACCAAAAAAAAAAAGTTTAGTTACCTTACAGAAGTAGTAAAATAACGGGCTAAATTTGAAACTGATCTTAATTTCGAAGTTTGTCCTATCAGAATAAAATGGTTGGACGATGCAAAGGACATAAGTACTACCTGTACAACGGGAGGAATACCTTCGTGGAAGACCTTACTAGCGCTTATTCCCATTAAACTTAGGGAAATCGTACAAAAAATTTCATACAGCTAGATCGTTCCCTGGAATTTCAACCGAAGTCAAACTACTAGTGTTTAGTGATATTACCGCTCAGCTACTGGTGGGCCATCAGATTAAGAATGCATTCATGAGTGTTTTAGTTATTCTAGTTAAGCCGAAAGTGCCAGACAGAACAATTTTTAAAGTTACCTTAACCAAAGAATGAAACTGCACAGCTGGTAGAGTGGTTAATGCCGTTCCGATGGGCACGGGTTCGTATCTCGATGAAGGCATGGATGCTTGTAAATGTATAGTGTCTGTGCGCCAAGGGGGCACTCAAAATACACGGCGAGCCGAAAGTCCTCTCGAGAGGTTAGTGGTAAGAGATAAGCAGTGGGAGACCGGCAGATCGCTTCCCAGGATATTTTCCCTCGAAACTGGAGCGGAACTGCACCCTTAGCGCGGCGGATGTGTAACTGTATGGCCATTGATGAAATTCTGGTGTCCCACCCACATCTACCTATACTTCACCAAAGAATGAAGTGATAAATAACGTTGTACAGTTATAACTTTTACATTCTGAAGAAGGAAACTGATATAGCGGTAAAGGAAGATCAAGTACTCTCTTTAAAAGAATACCTGAATTTAAATAATAAACTTATATATGAATGAGCGTTAAGTTCTGCAAGTCAGTTGAACAGAGAAGTGTTGATGATCTCTCATACAGAATTTACATTATCCGGAAGATCGTTTTCTTCTGTATGCCTTCTGATCAGCATCACTTCTTCAAATAAAGAACTGAATTTTCCAGATCAGCCCACAGCTCAAATAAGAACAGCTGTTTTGTTTCAGCTCCATTAAATGTGTAAAAAAATAAGGAACATCTTTTTTACATTGGAGGGCCTTTATACATGGATCTTGTTGAAGGCCGAGAAGGTAACATATCGAAAATTTTAATATACTATGTACGAAATAATTTTTGAGACTTTTTTGCTAATTTAAATGAAGAAACTATTTTTCGACAACATAGTTAATATTAATTTAAAGGATGACTTACTAGCGCAACTTGATGCCATTCTTCGTTTGAATTTCGTAAGAGTGACACGTAAAGGATAGTTCCGTTGCTCTCCAGTTCTTCAGTCATCCATTGCAAAGTAACTCGGTCTGTTTGTGGTTCACATACAGATTTCAATTCCATAGGCATTGAAATATTATTATCTAAAAAACAAAAATTTCAATAAAATCATTGAGGCACTTCCTATTGTAAAATCTTACAATGATGAAATACGACTATTACTGGACTGCGTAATTTGCAAGCTCATTTCATTACCCATTAAACTACAGTATTAAATTAATATTTATTACATATTACAAATAATGGTTTTCGTTGCAAGAAGTTATAGAAAATATCATCGCCTAGTAAATAATTGATGGAAAATGTCAAGAAACAATTAGATAAACAGTTTATATATATATATACTTACGTGTGTCATTATTCTGTGTGATAGAATTACATGCCGATTGACATCCAGGAAACTGAAAATGAAATCAAAATTCTCATGTATTGTCATTATCATTTTATTTGCTTTTTATTTAAATTTGTAATATAAAGCAATTTGTAAAAAACTACTGCAAATAAATATTAAAAACTGGTAACATAATTAAAATTAGTAATATAAGAAACTGAGGGACGATGTAAATAACATCAGTAATTTAATTTTACGGTTATGAAGGGTTCAGGCTACAAGTTTGTCTTTAAGGAATTTCTAAAAAAAGGAACTTTTAAGAACATAATAAAAAGTTCTGAGAATATGAAAACATTTTCATTGATCTTATGCTTAATACTAGTAGCTCGATCTGTTAATCCTGCAGGAGAAACAGCTATAGTACAGAAATGACACAGAAAAGTGTGTAAGGGCTTACCTAGTGTTAGGGCTTAAAATTCGGCTACAGCCCCAGGTAAGATAAGCTCCAGTACTTTAATTTATTATTCAATTATTTGTCATTGATTTAATTCAATTTATTTATTTTTATTATTTTATTCAAGTAATTAGTAATTATTTAAAATTGTGTTTACTTATTTTTGTTATCTTTTCTGACAATCTTCTGTAAGGTTCCGGTCTTTAATTTTACAAATTAAGCCCTGGTGTTGGCAGAGGCGTAGCTAGGGTTTTCAGCGCCCGGGGACAACTGAAGATTTTGCGCCCCTTTCTCTGTGCCAAGAACGGAAAGCATTTCATTCTAAAATTTCGTTACATCAATTTGGCGCCCCCTGAATGCTGCGCCCGGGGACAGATGTCCCCCCTTGCCCCGCCCTAGCTACGCCACTGGGTGTTGGTAAAACAAATTATGGAGTTGCTGAACTGAACATATTGATCAGAAGTTATGCACTGAACATATTGATCAAAATTGCTATGTAGTTACTAAAATTACATAGCCATTCAACTTTGAATACATCAGGAAAACCTATTCATCATTTTTTCCCATCAAACACTCGATATTGCGAATCTTGATAGTGAAGAGAAGATCTGGAACAGACACAGTCTTGATAGATAAGTTGGCAAAATTTAATATACGAATGCGACTAGGGATGTCGCGCATCCCTCCTTTTCCTCAGTAATTGCAACATCATATCTGATTTTTTTGGACCATTCCTGTTTCACTGGTGCTAGATTTTGAAAAGGTTTACCTTAATTGAGTTTATGGAATTTCTTTATTACATCCTATGAAATTTATCATTTGGACTATACCTTTCCGTAAATTTTATGGCAAATGCTGACAAGCTTCCAGTTCGCATCCATCAATCTTTTAGCCACTGTAACTAATGTTCAACAATAACCCGTTTCTAAGCATTGTACCGTTAAATAAAATGCATCTCTGAGATAGCTCAAATGCTGCATGTTATTTACAGTCAATGAATTAGAAACAAACGGAATTTCTTACTTTGAATAAAGGGGAAGGTACACTCTGACCAAGCATAGTACGTAATCTATATGAACAAAATTTGTAAATTTAGGAGTCATTCCCTTAAAGCACTGAAAGTTTATTACTTCATACTTTCACATATGTGCTGAACTCCATTTTCATGAAAAGAATTAACGTCATTTGTACTTCGAACCCTTCAAGTATTTATGAAGTTAGAAACGTTTAAGGCAGATTTCTGACCTACTGAAAGTTTTGCCATTATTGTTTATAATTGAATTCTTTTCTAATGTCTATTTATTTAAAACTTAATTTCTTTTCAAACTTAAATTATTTTATCATTGCAAAATATTTTTAAAAATTATTTATAGTAAAGGCACATTTTTTAAAAAGAATACTTAGGGTTTATTTAAATAAGATTTTTAAAATAATCGGAATTTAAAAAAATAAAAAAAGATAGTATAATGGAATTAAAATTAAGCATATTCGCAATAAAAATACTTTTTTTTAAGCATTTACTTTATCGAGTTTTAACATTATGCATTATATTGAACTTACGCAGATATCAGGAACAGAACACATTGGTCCCCAAATCTTGAAATTTTCATTCAGCATTTTACATGTTTCCCAGCACTGAAAAGAGAGAATTTTAAAGGCATGTCAATCATTATATAAACGTTTACCAAAATAGTTAAATAAACGTTTACCAAAATACACTCATGTCCATAAATTAAGAATAATTCGGAGTCACGCGGAAATCGATCTCTAAAATAAATATATCACCTGTAAAATCACTACACACATCTTCAAGAATCATATGCAAATTTCAGGAAGTAACCAGATGACACCGATGGTACGTCACAATGACGAGAGTGTACGAGAGTGATAAATATGGAATACAGGCAAAGAAGTAAAATTATTCGCAGGCGCTTTATAAGCATTTCAGTGCAATAACCGAATAGTTATGACACAAAGGACGCATTTGGATGATTTTTTACGTGGTATAATTATCGGCCGTCTGGAATGTGGGCGTACTTGGAAGTATCAGACGAACTTGGAATTGCCCAGAGTGTGATCTCCAGGCTTTGGCAACGATTACAAGATGATGGTAATGTGAGTAGACGTTACAGCACAGGTCGCCCCACTGTTACACCGCCGAATGAGGACCGGTATTTGGCAGTTACTGCCAAAAGAAACAGGCGGAGCACAGCCTCAGACCTGTCTCGTCAGCTCTCTTCAGCCACTGGTACGACAATTTCAAGGCAGACCGTGTACAGACGCTTAGGGCAGATTGGTCTATATGCTCGTAGACCTGTCAGATGCGTTCCACTCACTGCAACTCACTGTCGCCTGCGGTTAGCCTGGAGTAGAGAGCATGCACTGTGGACACGCAACAGTGGGCTTGTGTGATGTTTTCCGACGAGTCCAGGTTTAGCTTGCAGTCTGATTCTCGCCGGACTTTCATGTGGAGAGCTCCAGGTACCCGTTACCCACAAGAAAAATCATTGAACGACACCGTTACGGTGGTGCAGGAGTGCTCGTTTGGGGTGGAATTATTCTGGGTTCCAGAACTGACCTGCATGTTCAAATTGGAACCATGACGAGCCAAATCTATCGGGACTTCATTCTGGAACAACATGTACGTTTGTTTCGGGAAGCCATTTGCGCACAATTTGTGTTTATGGATGACAACGCCCGTCCTCACCGTGCACACATCGTAAGCGAATGCCTTCAATCGGAGGATATCATCCGTATGGATTGGCCAGCATTCTCACCGGACTTGAATCCAGTAGAGCACGTGTGGGACATGCTTGGCCGACGAGTTTCAGCCCGTCAACCTCCTCCTACATGTCCACCGGAACTTCGGAGAACATTGTCTTTTGAGTGGTGTAATATCACCCAAGATCAGATCGATAATTTGATACTCAGTATGCCTAGGCGTTGTACGGACTGTATTGCATCGTCTGGAGACATACAATGTATTAACAATCATACCAACCATGTAATATGGTTTTTGTAAAATAGTTTTTTTTTTTTTTTTTTTTTTTTTTTTTTGTAATTTGCTCCAGGGAAGAAAAAATCGCTAATTTTTTAATAATATCAAACATATAGCATTTTTTGTCTTTACCTTTTGTTTTAATAATAAGCTTTACAAATAAGTCAAATTTGTTTTGCTTCTAACTCTTCCTTTGCCTGATTTTGCATTATCCTTAATTTATGGACATGAGTGTAGTTTATTTCTCATTTTTTGCTCTTTTAAAGAAGAAGCGTTACTGCATTTATGTCACTTTGATGAAAATTTCTGTACTTGAGCAGAAGCAAATTCCTTAACTGATTAAAGCGAAGATGTGTGTGTGTGTGATTATGGAAAGCCTTGAGGGCTATCTGCCTAAGGGGAGGGATGCCTTCGTGGAGGACTTTCTAAGGGAACTGGCTCGTATACACGTTACACATGGGGAAAACCACGAAAACGCCCATGCAGCCAGCCCGTTCGCGGGATTCGAACCTCGAACCGAACTACCAGTATTAAAGCGAAGAAACTCAATAGCTGTTTGTCTAAGGGTATTTGATTTGATTTGATTATTTTATTATGTTAAAGCACGCTAGAGCTATCTGTTTAAGCCAAGAGATGCCTTCATGTAAGAATTTTAAAAAGGAATTGATTGATTTCACATGGGGGGGGGTAAATCATGAAAACTATCATGCAGCCAGCCCGCTCACTGAAATTAAACCTAGGTTGCACTACTGGTGTTGAGTGGTTTTATCACCACTGTCTGATCCGCAAGGAGGAATGCCTTCATAGGATTTTCTAAGGGAAATAACTGGCTCGCATTCACATAGCATATGAGGTAAACAACGAAATTGCCCATGCAGCTATTCGAGTTCGCTGGGATTTGATTTTGCTCAAACTATCCTGCTCAGCAGTCTTATCAACTTGGCGGAGGGGGGTGAAGGTTTGGTTTGCTTGATTATGGCAAAACACTCCAGGGCTATCTGCGTAAGAGGAAGGATGCCTTCGTGGAGGTGGTTCTAAGGGAATCTGGCTAGTATACGCGTTATACATGAGGAAAACAACGGAAACGCCTGTACAGCCACTCTGTTCGCGGGATTCGAACTATTAGGGTTCAACGATTTTACCGCTCGGCCGCTGGTGGGCTTAGAAAGCTAGAATTAAATGTGGAAAAATCTAATATTGTAAGAGTGACAACAGCTTGCCTTTTTCTTTGAAGTTCTTCATTACAGATGTTCAAAGTGTTAAGTTCCTTAAAGCGAAATGCTTTAAGGACATTGAATTACATTCTATTTATTTTTAAGTTATTACCTGTAAAACAACTAACTGAATTTCAGAGTTCAAAGAATCCAAAAATTTAAACAGCAAGACAAAATTGTAATAATACCGGGTTGTTCGAAAAATACGTGATAGTTGAGAAACCGGGTTGTTCGAAAAATACGTGATAGTTGAGAAAAAAATGGGATACAATGAAGTAAATAAAATATTCATTTGTTAATCACTATAAAAACAGTATTTCTTATCGCTGATAATTATATTAATAAGTCTCGAAAGCGAAACAAGACTATCAGGCAGAGAATCCAGTTGTGTTAATTAACACTAGTTGCTTGTATCTCCAATCTGACAAAACTACAGGAGCCAATCTCGATGAGATAAACGTTTCAGCTTTTGCAGGTATAAATCAAACTCTGCTAATTATACTGTTGGAGTAAAAATGAACCACATTCTTCGAACTCTTAAGTACATTTTTTTAAACCGTAAAAAAAAGGGGAGGTGAGAAACTCTGTACCGAGATACATAATATATAAATATATTTGTTAATAATCACAATAATACTGCAAATATCCATAATTATCACTTAGAAATCCTATACATAACACTTAAACAAATCACTCCAAATTGAATCAATTAAATGTATTAAGAGCAAAGTTAAAAATGAAAATATTCAGAAGTAAATTTATTGATTTTAGCTGCTCAGTTTGTTAAGCAATAGAAGTTTAGTTTGAAAGATAAATTAAAGATCTTAAGCTGCATTTAATGTTAGCTTCTGAAAACCGATGAGATGTGAGGCCGCATGGTAGGTTAAGTTAAAGATATCTGGACAATGACACCTATGCAGTGGTTGAGTGATGGCCAGATGGTTGATTGATGGCATGCTAGCGTAACGCTACAGCGTAAATTATCGTTCATTCGAAAGGTGGCTAAAGATTGGACGTAACGTATATTATCATAGTGACTATTTTTAGCTCTGTTTCTTCATTGGTAAAATGCCTTACCTAACAGCCGAATAGTAAAATTCGGCTGCTGTTGCGGCTGAACATTGGTAGTTCGACTTGGGATCAAATCCCTGCGAAAGAACTGGCGCTGCATAGGTTTGGTTTGGTTTGGTTGGTTATGGCTAAGTACACACCAGAACTATCTGTCTAAGGAGGATGCTTTCGTGAAGGACTTTCTAAAAATTGGCTCGTATACACGTTAAACATGGGGAAAATCACGATAACGTCCATGCAGCCAACCCTTCACCGAGATTCGAGCCGCGAACCGAATTACAAATGTTCAGCACTCGGTTGCTGATGACCCGGCTGTATAGGAGTTTTGGAGGTTTTACCTATGTGAGTGCGAGCCATTTTACTTTAGAAATCCTTTTACAAAGGTACCTCTTCGCTTAGTTAGGCCTTAAGTAATTTGCCCATAATTAAAACAATCCAGTCGTTTGTAACAAATGTTATTGTTAGGTTCTGCAATAAAGTTTCAAGATTTCCTCTTCAATTTATGGGTTTATTCTGGAGACTTACGAAGACTTTAATCATGTTATACTTTAACCAGACTTTAATACTGTATAAAAATTGTTCGAAAGACGACACATTAGTCTATAGTTTCCGTCATTCAGTATTATTATTTATCTTACCTTTCTAGGTAATTCAAAAGCAAGCCTACGATTCTTGATGTATAAAACAACATATGTTCAAATGTATGTAGTATACAGAATTTCATTTACTTTTGAGTTTTATTCCTTAAAAAGGAACAAAAAACTGAAATTTATCAATTATTTTCTCTTTCAAAGTTATTCAGACTTAAATTTTGAAATCTAAACATTTCCTCTTTTAGGAAGTTAACGTTAAGGACACTGAATTACATTCTATTTATTTTTAAGTTATTACCTGTAAAACAACTAACTGAATTTCAGAGTTCAAAGAATCCAAAAATTTAAAGAGCAAGACAAAATTGTAATAATACCGGGTTGTTCGAAAATACGTGATAGTTGAGAAACCGGGTTGTTCGAAAAATACGTGATAGTGAGAAAAAATGGGATACATGAAGTAAATAAAATATTCATTTGTTATCACTATAAAAACAGTATTTCTTATCGCTGATAATTATATTAATAAGTCTCGAAAGCGAAACAAGACTATCAGGCAGAGAATCCAGTGTGTTAATTAACAACTAGTTGCTTGTATCTCCAATCTGACAAAACTACAGGAGCCAATCTCGATGAGAGATAAAGTTTCAGCTTTTGCAGGTATAAATCAAACTCTGCTAATTATACTGTTGGAGTAAAAATGAAACCCATTCTTCGAACTCTTAAGTACATTTTTTAAACCGTAAAAAAAAAAAGGGGGAGGTGAGAAATTCGCTACGAGATACATAATATATAAATATATTGTTAATAATCACAATAATACTGCAAATATCCATAAATATCCTTAGAAATCCTATACATAACACTTAAAAATCACTCCAAATTGAATCAATTAAATGTATTAAGAGCAAAAGTTAAAAATGAAAATATTCAGAAGTAAATTATTGATTTTAGCTGCTCAGTTTGTTAAGCAATAGAAGTTTAGTTTGAAAGATAAATTAAAGATCTTAAGCTGCATTTAATGTTAGCTTCTGAAAACCGATGAGATGTGAGGCCGCATGGTAGGTTAAGTTAAAGATATCTGGACAATGACACCTATGCAGTGGTTGAGTGATGCCAGATGGTGATTGATGGCATGCTAGCGTAACGCTACAGCGAAATATCGTTCATTCGAAGGTGGCTAAAGATTGGACGTAACGTTATTATCATAGTGAATTTTTAGCTCTGTTTTTCATTGCTAAAATGCCTACAAACAGCCGAATAGTAAAATTCGGCTGCTGTTGCGGCTGAACATTGGTAGTTCGACTTGGGATCAAATCCTGCGAAAGAACTGGCGCTGCATAGGTTGGTTTGTTTGGTTGGTTTATGGCTAAGTACACACCAGAACTATCTGTCTAAGGAGGATGCTTCGTGAAGGACTTTTAAAAATTGGCTCGTATACACGTTAAAATGGGAAATAACGATAACGTCAATGCAGCCAACCCTTCACGAGAAGATTCGAGCCGCGAACGAATTACAAATGTTCAGCACTCGGTTGTGATGACCCGGCTGTATAGGAGTTTGGAGGTTTACCTATGTGAGTGCGAGCCATTTTACTTTAGAAATCCTTTTACAAGGTACTCTTCGCTTAGTTAGGCCTTAAGTAATTTGCCCATAATTAAAACAATCCAGTCGTTTGAAACAAATGTTATGTTAGGTTCTGCAATAAAGTTTCAAGATTTCCTCTTCAATTTATGGGTTTATTTGGAGACTACGAAGACTTAATCATGTTATACTTAACAGACTTTAATACTGTATAAAAATTGTCGAAAGACGACACATTAGTCTTAGTTTCCGTCATTCAGTATTATTTATCTTACTTTCTAGGTAATTCAAAAGCAAGCCTACGATTCTTGATGTATAAAACAAATATGTTCAAACTGTATGTAGTATACAGAATTTCATTTACTTTTGAGTTTTATTCTTAAAAGAACAAAAAACTGAAATTTATCAATTATTTTCTCTTTCAAAGTTATATTCAGACTTAAATTTGAAATCTAAACATTCCTCTTTAGGAAGTAACGTTAAGGACACTGAATTACATTCTATTTATTTTTAAGTTATTACCTGTAAAACAACTAACTGAATTTCAGAGTTCAAAGAATCCAAAAATTTAAAGAGCAAGACAAAATTGTAATAATACCGGGTTGTTCGAAAAATACGAGGACGGGTTTCTTTTCTTAAAAACATTGATTCTGATCATATGTTTCTAATTACACAATTTTCAAAATTTGGTTGAGAAATTTATTAAAGCTGTTTGGATATTAGGGTGTGTGTGTGTATGTGAAAAGGCTGGATGAATGCACAAATATATCTTTTTATATGGTCCCTGTGGAAATCAAGAAGTCCAAATGGTATAAATGTTACTATGCTTTAATAATTTCAACACATAAAGCTCTATATCTTTGTTAGAAAAATTTGCGGAGGCATTTGAGAAGGAATTATTGACCTAGATTGCTTTTTCAGATGTCTATTACCAAGAGCAATTTCGATCATGATTTGTCCAGATTTGAGAAACGGTAGAACAAATTTTGCTTATCCTCCCTGTTGGCATGGTGGTAGCCATGGAGGAAGGAAGGATTTCTTCCTACATGGTGGTAGCGGAGCTGGCTGCTGTACCCTTGGGCCCATTTTCGAATCACTTGGGAAGCTCGGGACACTTAAAATACTGGCTACCCGAAAATGTTGTCGAAAAGATGGAGACAGAGAATGAGGGGTAGGAGACCTTCAGATCTGTCCTCAGAGATGTTCTCCATCAAAAGTAAATGAGCTTGCCATTTCTCGCAGGTGTAATTCGGTCGCGCCCTATGGTGCACCCGAGCCACGTTCTCGGTGATGAGACAGCAATGACGGGTGGATTTAAGCATTTCCTGATGAATGCGTTAAGTGGCAAATGTCCGACAATTTAGCACAACAACAAAAAAATATTGCTCATTTTGATGATAAATAGCTCCATTTTAGGTAAAACAGCACTTATTAATTTTGAAACTCACTCCCTGATTATTAATATCTCTGCGAATTTTACTTGTAAAGTTATAGAAATTTTTGCATTTAATTTTTGAAACTATAATGAACATTTAAAAAACTAGAGTTTTTGCTCTACGATCATATAAAAAGTTCCATCCTTAATGCTACACCTATTTTTATAAAATCCTTCACCTTATTTCGTATTATAGTTTTGTAAGTGCGTGTCTAGGATAAGCATTTAAGGATAGATACCTGTTTCGAACATTTTATTTAATGATGGCAACTGATATCAAAGTTGATATTTGGAATTTATAATTTCATCACTGATACAGTTAAAAGATTTAGATAAATATACGGAAATTTATAAAATGTCACGCGAAGATCTTAGCTTACGTAAGAATATTTATGTAGAAATAAATACAGAAGAAATAAATATGAATAAAGAAGAAAAAAGCATATTCAGTTTTTCTTTTCTATTAAATCTAAGTACAATTTGGTTTTTTTATTAAACTTTTCTTACCATGAAGCAGTCTGGTTCTTTATGACAGTTTTCTTCAGTACGTAAGTGAATGAACTGAAAAAAAAAAAAAAAAAAATGCATTAGTTACGTTGCTTTTATTCAACACTTCCTGTTCTAAAAAATTATTTACTTTCTAAACATTACTACTACAAACTACAAAACTAAACATTATTACTATTAGTATTTCAGAAAATTAGGTATCAGTTAAATTCTTTCTCGAAATTCCTCTCTACCTTACATATTTCATTATTTACCTATGTAATCAATTTCTGATTTTATAATATAATGGTATTAATAAACTGCTACTTCAGCATTTTTCTCCGAGACTCCTTATGCACGTCTATAAATGCAACCACCTATGAACATCTTCTCTAAGACGACCTCCACCCCTGGATTCAGAAGACAAATCTTCCGAATCCATGGGTGGTTGCATTAGAGAATGTACTTCGTGTCTGCAGATGATTATATCTATATGCTTTAATTAGTTAAAAATTTGCGTGTAATTTTAATAAAGTGATTATTTAGTATCTTTCCTAATCAACTCCAGTACTTGGAATTCAGAACTCGAATGGGAAACGCATATCTTCGAACTTCAGAATTATCAAGGTTTTATCATTTTATATTATAAGTAACGAACTAATAAACATAAAATGTAGCAGAAGATTAATAAATAAATACTTTCTTCCATTTACTCAGCGTAAAGCAGATAATAAATTTCAAGAGCTAATGTTATTGTAGTTCATCTTTTAACACACAGTGAGAGGACAAGTCCTTTTCCCGTTAAATTGATGCATTAGCAAATGGCTAGAAAATATTCTGCAAACCACCAGACCACAAAACTTGGGTAATTAACAACCAGCTGTGTATTAGAATTCCTCGAAATTTTTCAGAGATCCATGGAGTTGCGGTGATCTCGCATAACATCTTATCTAGATCCAATGAATTCCGTTTTGGCGCATTCTTCCCCACAAAACTATCAGTTTCTTATCCTCAGCGTGGGATTTTCGAGAAGCAGAAGCTGGGGAAGAAGATAAAACGATAAGAGGTCAGGAAAGGTTAATAATGCTCTCCCACCCTTACTGTGGCCTCGCAAACGCGAAACGAGCTCAACAAGCAATGGCTTTAGCTTCCTGAAAAAGAAAGTAAAAACGGAGAAAAAAAAGACGAGAATTGAGTCCCGCCCCACCCCCTGTGCGCATTATCCTCCTACCATCACCTATAAATTTTTCTAGTTTACTTTAGAATTAACTTAAGTAAGGTGACAATGAGTTCGCAATATCCCACTGTCCTATATTTTAGGCTCCCCATTTCTGTTTGCAGCTTGTTTGTTTTATGCAACTGATAGCTTGCTTCTTAAGATTTGTTGTCTTTTATTTTTATTGGTGTTTGTTTCAATATGTCTTTTTGCTTTGTTTATCTGACATTTACCGGTTATTAATTGTTTCGTTACACTTTGCTTTATGCGAAACTCTAAACTGTTCAACTGTTCTTGCAGTAATAATGCAATAATAATAATCTTTGCGTCACTAAGATTCATTTTCGATTGAATTCAGAGTTGCAAGTGGCGAGGACGAGTAATCTCTCTCTCTCTCTATATATATATAACGTAAGCGTATTATAAAGGAAAACGAGCCTCCGAAAATGCTGATCGACTGCTATTGAACTCTAAAGAGGGTGTATCAGAGAAAAAATAATAATTAAAATCAGTTAAAATTGCATTTTCAGGTAGTTGTTACTAATTGTAATGGATTGTAATATTTGAATTTAAGTTATTTAAATATTAAAAAAAGATGACTGCGAAAATAGAAAAAGTTTTCTTTTTAGTCCAAAAGGGCTTTGTCCCTGAAAAACTATTGTTTTCGTTTTGCGATTTTTGCGTTGAAAACTTTAAAAAGCTGTATCACTTTCCAAATCGTTGCTACCAAATACTATTGCCCTGTATTATATTTGAAGAAATTAAATAATAAAGAATGTGCATAAATGTATGTATGTTTCTCACATTGTGATAAAACAACGGTACTTAAAGCCATCCAATTTTGAATGACGTAATCCTACTGCGAATAATGGGCATCAGAAAGCCCAAATTTGAAATTTGGCATTTGTTTTATTATCGATTTCCTATTTTGTAAAACTTTAACGAAATTTTGATTAACAAACTCAACGATTTAAAAGCGAGCAATGGCAGCAATCTACGGTGGGGGGTGGGGGGGGTGGAGTTTTATCTTCAAAGCGCGGAACTGTGTATCGGAAGTTCTAAAGATATGCTCATTTAAAATTTTTTTTGCGACATTGCCTCTTGAACTGAATTTTATGGCTTAAGAGCAAAAAACATGATATTTAATAAATAAAGGTAACGCACAAAACCTTAAAAAAAAGGCCCCATTGGACGTAATTTAAAATCTGCCTTTCGGATTTTTTCCCTCTTTTCTTTTCTTCTTCTTCTTCTTCTTTTTTTTTTTTTTCCTTATAGAATACACATCAGTTCATTTTAACTTAACCAAAACTAAAAATTTTCAGTTAATTAATCTGTCTTCTATCAAGCACCTTAGTTCAGTAATCTGTACTAATGTGTCATTTTTTAAAAAAAATTAAATGGTTCAAGTATAATTAGAAAAGGACCTAAGCCTCTTTTTCCCCTCCTCATTTATAAAACTGCATTTTCATCTATAATCATGTGAAATAATTCTCTAAATATAATTCAGTACAGAAAGAATAATTTATAGAAGCGATTTGGAAATGGAATCGGCATTGAGAAGCTTATAAAAATCTAGGAAGCGAAGTAATTCTGTAGAATATTTTATAACTTTTTACAGTTGAATTGCATTGAATTTCTCTTTATCAATGACTTGTAAATATAATTTAATGATATTATGAGTGTATATATGCTACATACATACATACATAGTATATACATAGATGCATACATACATATAACACACACATTTATTCATAAGTTCCATATGAATTACCACGAGATTTCAACAGCTATATACTTTTGTTGTGCCTTGTTTACTATGTCGAAACTTCTGAATGAAAATTACAATTATCATCTAAACTTTGATCTCAGTGACATTAATAAGGCAGAATTTCTCGTTAAAAGAGAAATATTTACAGAGTTTTATTTTTGCTATTGCTAGGCAAAACGAAACAGGAATGTGGAAGGTCGGTCCTTTCGAATTTTCGAATTTTATTCTAAAATACAATTTTCAGAATAAAGTTTTTAAATATTGAAATAGTATTTCGAACCTTCCTCACAGTTGCTGTAAGTGCTACTAGTCGTGAGAAGAGTTTTCTGAATAAATTTTATTTACAGAGCTTTTATGAATTGTCAATGTTTACTTTGCATTGAAGACATCTTTCTATACTGTCTGCACTACAGTAACTGGAGCAATTAAGTAGACCTCTATGCTGGTTTTGCAAGCAAAAAGCAAAATAATAAAATTTTAAAATGTTGGAATTGAAATTTTTCTTCAATAACACACATAGAGTTTATTTCCTTATATATTATTTTGATGCTTTTTTGGTTTTTTATTTGCATATCACGAGGGGCGGCAAATTTAGGGACAGGGCAGGCGGCAAAATCATGGACCGCCCCGGGCGGCAAAACTCTAGTTACGACACTATAGATAAGAATTTTGATTGATTCCTATCTATATGTATCCTGCTTTTATAAAACGTCTAACAAATAAATTATCCTATTAATTCTAATGCGTATTCGCATAATAACATAATAACTATGCCATTTAATCTGAAATTTTAAGATCTAAGTCAAACGCGTCAGTGGTTTTAGACTCCAATATTTAATTTTTATCATCAGAAGCTTTTAAGAGTCATTAGGTAATTTGATGTCGGTGAAATGAAAAATATGCAGTGCCCTAGCTGGGACTCGAAACTTGGACCTTTCGAATACGCGTCGAGTATGCTTCCATCTACACCAAGAAGACATGCTGGAAGGAGGGAGAAAATACCTTGTAGGTATACTTTCCCTTTTAAAGGGCGACTGGGGTTAGGAGACCCAGTTGTCAAATCCTTGTGGTGATGAATTATCGTACACTACCTTTTAGTTCGGGTACCACTTTAGACTTTTGAAACAAGGAGACCTGAAAAATGTGCAGTGTCCTCGCCGGGACTCGAAACCTGGACCTCTCGAATACGTGTCGACTATGCTTCCAATAACACCACGAAGGCATGGGGAAATGAGGGAGAAAGTACCTTATAGCTTCATTTCTAAAAGGAATTTCATGCGGAAAGGAGTTTATTATCATTTTTAAAATGTCATAAAAACCTAATTTTGTATAGCTACTTCAGCACGGAACAAATCTGCAAACTATCTTTGAATTCCTGTTATTTTTTTATAACTCTTAGAAGGAGGTGTGGTGAATAATAATAACAATAAATAAAATAAACCCCTGATATCAACAAGCTTCATTAAACTTCATTTAACTCAGGATCATTTTCAACTAAAAAAAAATGCCCATAGGAAGCGAATGTTTAACTGCCATGTGAAAAGTTTTATGTATTAATTTTTAACACAGTTTTACGCCAGTTTACTGAATAATTAAAAATTTTGAAATGCTCGCTCAGGTTTAACACTTCCTTTAACGCTTAAATATAATGATTCGTTACTCCTATTTAAGCTAATCGCTTTCCTTTTCATATCATGCGTCAAAACTATTTACAGAATAACAAAGCTAGCTGATTCTCCTTCCCTCACCACATATATGGTATGCAAGTGAAGATCACGATGCGCTTTGGCTGACAAAAGGGGAGTGAGCGTCTGAAGAACAAATTTAGCCCACTCTCTCGGCATTTTATGATTGATTGATTTCTGCTCATTACTCAAGCTGTTTTTGCTTTCAAGTTCTTTTCGTATAAGATGTGCTAAGGCAGTAAGAATTCCACTCCTAGGAGCAGAAAACATTTAAACAATTGTCGTCTTTTAGTTTTTAATTATCATTACCAAATTTTTTTTCACTGAAAATTTTTTATCTTGCAAACAATTTTAAGAGTAATAGGTTCTGTTGTCTTCTCTCAGATTAAAATATAGAGCTTTT